TGGCAGCTCTAATTTTCACCTAGAAAATACTGAGCACTCTCTCTTGAAAGCTGATGAAGGTAGATAAATTCCATGTTGTGAATTTAAGAAAATAAGTAAAATCCCCCTTTTGTTTCAATAAACGATACGCCCGCAGGTTACATAGGTGAAAGAGATTCATACTTCGATTGTAATAAAACTAACTACTTCATAACATAATATATATATGATGTCATGTGACTGTCACAATTTGTCCCCATCTTCACCAGAACTTTTTATGGCCACTGGAAAGGTACAAGACGTATCCCACAAAAACTGGAAAGGTAATAATGCTTCTGACCATGTGATAGCTGTTCCACTTGTCTATGGTTTCCCTTACGACACTCTCACTCTTTCTGGCTGTCACTTCTTTGTCGTAAATGGGGTCAATCGAGTTTGGTTTCAGAACGAACAGCGTATACGGGAAGATCGTTGCAATCAGACCTCCTCCGACAAGGAAAGGAAGACCCTTTTTTGGGTTACAGTAGTATGCACCAGCTCCAGAAATTATAGAGACTAACGCCAAGCGACTCTGGAAAACCTTCGCTCGATCGAAACTTTCCATCCACTCGTTGTGACAAGATGTAGTATCTTGAATCGTCATTCGGGCGGGATGTTCAACAACATTGATGTACACCGCACCTCCGACAAACATACCCGCTGCAACGGTGGAAATGACCTCGAGATAAGGAAACAAGTCGTCCAAATCAAACCCCATTTTCTTCTATAAAGCTGTCTGACTTAACCCTAACACAGCTCGAGAGTGCAACACCTAAAGCTTTAGCCTGCGCGTCAAGGACAACGCACTTTGTCAACACAACAGCTGCTCCACGGACATAGCGTGGGCGCAGAATTTTGAAAAGTCACGCAACGAGCCTTTGTTTGACCTGTTTGTTTGTTAATTTTTTTGGTTGACGGAACTCAATTTGAAAATGGGGAGCTCCTTAATTCAGAGTATATCATTAGAAAATACAAGGGATCTTTATCTTTCAAACTTGAATATTTCACGTCACCTATGTTTTTACATTATTTTGATATTTTATGCATCGTTGCGCCACTATAATGTGGATCATAATCACATGTGTAATTTTTAATTCAGTGTCCAGATGAATAATTTCATAGAAAAAGAAAATTTGGGCGTACGATTGTAAAAACTAACCGAGCGAGTCATAGTTAGCGACACTCCGATCATCTATTTAATATAAAAAAACACCTGCTTAGTTGACAGCTAACAACAGCACTGAAAGTCGAGACAAAAAAATTTACATTTCTTTCTCCGGCTTCTGAACATTTATTGAAGTTGTTTAAAACTTAAACTCATGGTGCATGAGGCACGAGAAAGTATAAATTGTTGCTTGACTTAAAAATATAGATGAAAACTCAATTGTATCTAATTTGACGTCTTTTATTGTGATCCATTATCTGCACTATACCGTATTGCACAAATTAACATACAGGTTTATAACAATCCACGCATTAGCGATCCCACTCGTCTTGGAACACTTCTATTTTTCAACATAAATCAGACAAACGCTTTGAAAAGAAATATCCCAAACGAATATTAAAGAAAATTCTCTCCCAATACACCTTAATTTAAGGGTTATCGCCATTCGACAAAATGTCCCTGATTTTAAAATCCATTCAACTCAGTTTTAAACATGGCCGCCACTCAGTTGTAAACAAGATTGTACACACACCAGGCCAGTGTAGACACATCTATTATGGTGCGGACTTTGTGAAAAGTGTTCCATTTATCCACAGTGTCTCTCACTTTTCCGGGATCCATCTTTGCAGCAACTTCATAATCATAAATGGGATCGATGACGCGCGACTTCATGGCGAGAGCTGTGTACGGCATATTGAATGCCATCAGCCCGGCAGTAATCAGCCAAGGTTTCCCTTTGCTCTGATCGATAGCAAATGCTGCTATTCCTCCAGCAATCGGCAGCAGCGATGTCCCGGCCATCAAGTACTTCGCTCGATCGAAGCTCTCTCGCCATTGGCGATGAAGCGATTGAACATCATCAAGTTGCATTCTTGCAGGATGCTCTGCAAGGTTGATGTAGATTGCACCGCCAGCTATAACACCCGTGGCTACTGTTGAGGTGAATTTTATCAGCTTCAGTGCATTTTCAGCGTCCATGATTCAAGAAAAGTCGGACTATTCCACAGATTCGTACCAACACACACTAGACCTTAATTTGTGCCCTTTCAATTGAATAATAAATGTAGACAGATCGATTTACATATTAATGACATACGCGTGCATAATTTGATTTTTGTCACGCGTTCTCAACTCGTGACTGAGAGGCGTATTTGCAGAAATTTTTATCCCTCAAATGAATGACCATCTTAAAGGAGAAACAAACCAACAAACAAAAAAATTGAACAAAATAAAAAAGTTTTCCCATCCCTTCTAATATTTTCAGGTTTATCTGTCGGGTCGCTCAGGAACAGTGACGCTTACTTAAGGGAGCTCCTATCAACTCCCTATGCATGCTGCAAGCCAGCAAACCTGCCTTGATAAGCGACAGCTTTTAATTGCTTTTATCTGCAGTCTACAGAATTACACCATGGCTCGGTCTATCTTGACAAAGATTCTAGCTTTGCATTTGTCATCATAGGTGTCTTTTTATTCATCTATCTTACTTTGACGACTATTACAGATAATCGTTCGACCTCCTGATGCTATGGGAAACTTCAAATTTCTCAAATTCTTTCACTCTATAAAATGAGTCGTAAACATTCGTCATTTTTTTTTTAACTGAAGCGTAAAGTAACCGAAATAACGCGAACGAACCGTATCATAATGAATTTGGTCACGGTTGCAGAAGTTTTACCTGCTGGAGAGATAATGATTCTCATAAGTATACTTTAATTACTATTAGGCAAGAAGAACTCTACTCATTAGTACAACGCTTTCTTTTCAAATGTAACACAATGGGCAGGTGTCATACTTAATTTGCCTTCTGTAGTTGCCATGTCACGCTACCGCGCAACTGGTAACCCAGTCAAGGGTGTGTTTATTTGTTTGAAAAGGTTGATCCGCGTCCGAAGATAAATGTGCGTGAGTTGGTAGTCAGAGAACACAAAGAGAGCTTAAACTAGAATTTTTTTAGAATAGTAAACTTGAACGTAAACCCAGAAAAAGTCTTCACGATTGTCGAGTGTGTGAACACGTTTTTTTGCGGGCTCAGGATGACAGGAATAGCTGTGTATGTGGTTGCCGTGGAGCAGCCATCAAGAATGACTATGAAGGACGCTGTAGCAATCCATCGCCAATGGCTGACGAGCTTCCATCGCTGTGCACGACTGATGATGAGTTTGTCTGGCTAATTGTCGCTGGGCTGCTTTTATTTAACATGCATTACACTCTATTAGTTCTGAAGCCCTATTTCATCGACCCTATCATCCACGAAAATGTCTGTTCGAAAAAGGATCCTACCTACGTAGTAGATCGTGTTGTGAGGTGGAGCAGGGCTCATTTAGTTCGTGTCTTGATCAATAAGATTGCATTCGCAGTGTGCATTTATACAATCGTATACTAGCTTAGCTTGTACGTAACAATCTGATTACCACTTTGACGTACTCCGTGTAAATAAAGTGCTTGATGTGGTTTTTCCTGAGGAGAGAAAAACTCAAAACTGCTCACAAGTTTATCCTGAGCTTCTCTAGATCGTGTAACATGAGGATTGATTTAGAAACTCTTGAAATTTTTTTTGTCTTTTTTTAAGTGTTACGAAAACATAAAATACAATTTAATCAACTTTGCATAGATTCCTCTTTATATATGCACAATATTCAGTTCCGGTTAGAGATCGCGGATGTGATGATGATTTAATTAGAATTAAATTACAACCCTATTCAGAGAACTGTGGACTTACAGCTCTTGAAAGAATACCACTGCAGTTTGTTGTTGATTTCACGAAAAACCTGGGAGTGTTAAATGAAAGTTCAAGCTTACCAAAATACATTAATAAAAAAATGTTAAAAAAAAAAAAATGAGGGGATCTGGGCACTACAAACCCTTCGAGATTCGCTGGGCAGCCCCACTAATCTTTACACACGTGGTACAATCTTCCTCTTTCGCCGGCCATCTTGAAATTACGATATAATGGTGGGTGAGAAGACAAAAAAGTCAAATTATTTTAATCTGTTACCCAGCCAAAACTTCCTATCGTATCATTTAGATTCAATATAAACTAATCTGCAAACTCACCAAATATGACGCTAAAATATAACATATTTGGCATGGAATTTTGCGTTTAGTTTCGTTACGGTGCTGTTCGAACTTGCGTTTAGACTTAATTTTGGGGGGATCACACGGAAAATGCTCCTTTAAACCTTTCACGATGTCGAATAGAAAGCTTAATTCTGAATTTGAACGTTAAACTGTGTCCTTCTATGTATAAAATTGCCAAGGTAGTTTGCTCTTGACGGAGCAAACGAAGAAAAATGTACTGGTCATCAGATAAGCTGGGAGAAAATAAGGCTGCCTTTGAAATATATCCATGGTTTGTGTTGTATTTATTGAAACACATACAAAGAAAATAGCAAATGGCAAGAAGAGTGTTGTTAGTTTAAAGATGAGAGACAAATGTTCGTTTTTCATCCGTAGTGGTGAATCATGTGCAGTCTGTTAAAACTATTTGGAATTTATGATGTATGTCTTGTCATTAGAGTGTTTCCTCGAGGCCCCTGGAGTCTAACCAACGGTCAAATAGTGTCTCTCCTTCAAAATTGTTGAAGTAGGAAACACTCATGAGTGCAATAGCTTATATGATCTCAAATTTTTCCTATGTGTAGGGCTTGTGTCTGAAGAGATGGGATATGTTCCCATGAAAATAGCTTAACTACAAAAATCTATACTGACCCAAACAATCAAGCTGTATAGTTTTGTCCCTTATAACAGGCCTTTAGCTTATTTTTAGTTACTGTGGTCAAATTAAGTCTCATATGATCTTAAACAGAGTGGGATCATAAAACTCTGGTCAAATTATAAAGTCTCGTGTAATCTTAAACATAGTGGGACCATAACACTAGAGTAACTCAATTTAAGTCTATCATCTTTTTTTCTTTCTAGAATGGTACACAACCAGTTTAAGAAGCTGGATTTTGTGTATTTGGTGTGACACAAGTTTAAAAATAACGTGGGATTCTTTGCATTGTGTGTCATTTTTGAGGACTGTACATTTCAAAAAATTCTGCCTGTGACTATGTTCCCAGACACCTAAGACAGTTTGTAAAGCTCTTTTAAGCCATCCATCAGCCACTGTAAGAATTGTGCCATCCAATTTACATTAAATGGATAGCCATGATGTAAGAATGAAAAATACATGCTTGTTGTCTTTTCTTCTAGGCGGCTAGACCATTAATAACAGTATACGATGAGGCAGGAGAAAATGTTGGACAGACCACCCTGCCTGCTGTTTTCAAAGCTCCCATTCGTCCTGATGTTGTGGGCTTTGTCCACACCAACATGGCCAAGAACAAACGGCAACCTTATGCTGTGAACAAGCTTGCAGGTCATCAGACATCTGCTGAGTCCTGGGGTACTGGTCGCGCTGTTGCCAGGATTCCTCGTGTGAGAGGTGGTGGTACACACCGCTCAGGCCAGGGTGCTTTTGGCAATGTATCCTTGAACTTGAGATTATTTAATACAAACCAATTTTTTTCATCATATGTATTGTTTAAATTTCCTGAAATCAAAGTCCAGATGGTGATGGGCCTAAATCATTCGTTTGTACCGAAGGAGTTTGAAATAATTTTGTCATACTATGATGCTCTTTTTAAACTTGTGCTTCTGACTATTTATGCTAGGTGTGCATCATGCATTTCCATGTCTAAGTGTGTGATGATTTCAAAGGTCATAGTTACTTGCTATCTTTTTGTCATGTAGGTGTTATTTGACAATTTGGTTAATCTGGCAATATGCCAGGCATGTGGCTTACCTTGACTTGAATTCCCTTTAACCCTGTGTTAGATTTCTGTTTGTTCTTAATTAATGCTAATTAGATTGCATGCTTTTCTGTAACATCAAATATGTTATAATTGGATTGGAATGCAAATGTTAGATAATCCCATTCATGGTTGAACTCTTGTCTTTCATAGATTTTGGTGTCTAAATGAGGAGTTCTAAGTCACTTAACACAAACCACATTCTCAGCCAACCAAATAATTGACCTTGTGTTGTTATCCTAGGAAGATCTTGAAGTTCATCCTAACATTTGACTGGCCCAAATCTATCCTCGCTGTATGTGCATGTTGCAGTTATGACCATATATAATTGTATGCTGTCTGAAGGGGGTTTCTTATGAATGGGAATACTATATGCACCCTATTTAGGAGTTACGGTATGTTTGCTGCAATAGTTTTGTACTTCCTTTACTTGCAACTTAGATGTGTAGAGGTGGACGTATGTTTGCTCCTACAAAAACCTGGCGACGCTGGCATCGAAAGATCAATCAGAAACAGCGCCGATATGCTATGTGCTCAGCCCTGGCTGCTTCTGCCCTCCCTGCTCTTGTGATGGCTCGTGGTCACCATGTTGATGAGATCCCTGAGGTTCCATTGGTTGTTTCAGATGGAATTGAATCCCTTCAGAAGACTAGTGCTGCAGTGAAGCTCCTCAAGTCAATAAATGCTTATGGAGATGTAGAAAAATGCAAGGAGTCGAAGAAGATCCGTGCAGGCAAAGTAAGTTTGGACTGAAGAATTTGAAAACAGTTGAGCATTTCTATGTTCTGATGGAGGGTTCAACCTAAGTGATTCTTGATAGAAAGAGGATGAACCCCTTGGTTGTAGACCAGCCAGAAGGCATTGCAAAGGTAAAATATGGTATTGTGATGATGCAACCAGTTGCAAAACTTGATATTCATTGCCCTTTACATGTTAACAACATTGCCCTTCCTCATAGTGAATGGAAAACTAGGTTCTAATTTTAAAAACCAAGTTAATCTTGAGTATTTTTCAATTAAAGATTTCCTCTCTTATACATTTGTACCTTGGTAATATTCAATTTAAATTTTCTATCAGGGCAAGATGCGCAACCGTAGAACTGTGATGCGTAAAGGGCCCCTCATCATCTACAATGAAGATCATGGAGTGAAAAAGGCTTTTCGCAATTTACCAGGGGTTGATATCTTGTCAGTGGATCGTCTGAATCTTCTGAAGCTTTGCCCTGGTGGTCACCTAGGCAGGTAGGAGGACACAAGA